GACTCAGCCTTCCATCCTTCCGAGGTGGGTGAAATGAGGACCCGGACTGTGGGGGCAAGTTGCTGACTCAATTTGCTAAAAAATATATATAATAATTTGTAAACCGCTTAGAGAGAGCTGAAAGCCCTATGAAGCGGTATATAAGTCTAATAAATAAATAAATAAATAAATAAATGCAAAACTTTTGATCACTGCAACCATCGCACTATCCACATTTTTTTGTTCTTCCAATTACTCCCTAAACCTTTTTACCTGTAGCGAGGTTGGGACACCATTCCTCAGCATAGAAAGTGGGGAAACAGAAACACCAGCAGTTTTATTATTAATTGTTCAAGCTAGATTGCCCCATCCATTTGGGCCCTAATTTGTACAAAGGAGGCAGGGTTGGATAAAAATATTGAAGAATTGTGTTAGATATTCAGTTAGCATGGATTGGCTTGGACGTCTCAAAATTACAGATGCCTATGGGCCAAAAACACCATAAACAACCCTTCCATTTTGCCCTAAATGGCATTTGGTTCCCTAAGATGCCATCACAACTTCAGGCCAATTTGTCCTTGCTTGTGTCCCACAATTGTTTTCATTTAATTACCATTTATAAATATAATTTCTGTCAGTGCAAGATGAAAAATCATTAGAGTGTGCTATAATATTTCATGGCAAGATAATTAGATCAGGGGTGTCAATCTCACAGCGTGCGGAATGCTTAGATCTCGCCTGTGGGGCCGGCCTGAAAACAGCAAAGTACAGGCCCACAGTGCTCTGCCAACGGAAATGTGCCCCCCACACACACACCCGAGCTCCATTTTCACTGGCATAGAGCTATCAAAGCAAACTAAAAATAAAACAAAAGGAGAAATGTTTCTCCTTTTGCTTTTGAGCATGCAAGAAGGGACAGGAAAGAAGAAAAGGGAAGAGGAAAGAAAAAGAATGAAGGATGGAAAGAGAGTAAGGAAGGAAAAATAAGGAAAGAGGGAAAGGAAGAAAGAATGAAGAGGGAAGGAAAAAGAAAAGGGAGGAAGGGAGGAAAGAAGGGAAGATTATGAGTGAGGGAGAGTCTCAGAGAAATCCTGCCTTAGCACTTGGCCACTACAAGTGCCCCTCATATGACCCACTATGGCCACACCCCATGCCCTTCCCGACCCTCCAAGGTCAAACACAACGCTGATGCGGCCCTCAATGAAATTGACACCCATATGCAGTGATGGGATATGACCAGTACGCCCCGGTACGGGCATACCGGTGCCTGCTGGGAGCACCAGGTACCATTCTTATACGGTGGTCCAGAGGGCCTCCCCGCCTGTGATCCCTACCGGTATTTGAGCCCATTGGGGGTTTCGCGCACGTGCCGGGAGCGTATGGTGCCTGCACGACGCTCCGCCGAGCAGCTGGAGCGTCACAGAGTCATCGTGGAGCATTGTGGGTGGTAAGTACGCATGCGCGCGCTGCACACATGCATGTGGTGGATGTGCAGCCCCGTTGCACTGTAACCAGTTGCACTGGGATCCGGAACCCACCACTGATAATATGGCGCTTCATTGGTGCTATGAGGCCTAGATTTCTGTACCCGATATTAGGATATTACATATTAATAAGCATAGACATAATTCTGCCAAAAGACATTAACAGAAACCATCTTTCCATTAACAGCCACCAACTAATATACGTGTTTTTTTTGCATTTATTTCAGTTGTAGGATATATTGCATTTATGCATATCCAGTAAAGCCAGGGCGGCTTTATATCAGTTTAGTACAGTGGTTCCCAAACTTGGCAACTTTAAGACTTGCGGACTTCAACTCCTAGAATTCTCCAGCCAGCAGAGCAAAGTTGCCAAGTTTGGGAACCACTGGTATAGTATATGCTTCAAATGCAACAGTTCCCAGTTTAACCTCCCTGGTATTTTCAGGTGAAAAAAGGATCCTTCAAAAGCTTGTCAGAGATTTAGAGAATCTTAGTGGATTCAATAGCTAGGTGTCACATGGCTTTGCCATATGCTTTCCCCTCCATCACATATAAATTTATTAATATCTTGTATGTCATGGATTAATGATGTGAAATTATAAGAAGGATTATTCTAGTTGAATGGCTCACTTGGTTCGTTCTAATTCATTTCCAAATAGTGTAATAACAATGTAGACAGATAATGAGCTTCATGGAGTTTGGATGGTCATTGTTAGATACTTCCGTGTGGATTTCAATCCTGCATGAAGCAACAAGAGAGCTTAGTATCCTGCAAAATCCCATCCAACTCTGTGATTCCACAAAGAACACAATTCTCTAAACTGAATACCATTTTCTCAGCCAAAATATTTAATGGCAACATCACAACACATTAAGCAAACTGTATGTTCTTCTGAATTACAACTTTCATCCCCAAAGTTGTGATTTGAGTGTTTCTCTCAATTCAGAGCAACTAAATACAGTACTTCACAATTTTTTTAAAAAAAAAAATTCCTGACTTGTGTTGTGCTGCCCTCTGCTGTTCTAATCTTTATATGTATAAGCGAAATACCACTCATGCATCATCACGAAATCTCCAGAACCCTAAAGCCTACAAACTTGAAATTTGGCACATAGGTTCCTCTTGGCTTCTAGTTGCTTGCTAAGAAAGGATTTTTCGAAATGATCATCAAATCATTAGTATTTCTTATAGTATTATTAAGATGCTCTGATGCTAAGGAGTTAAGAAGTTCTACTCTCCCACCCCACCTCAAAAGAACTGTTCCAACTGCCACTTGGGTGTGGGCGTGGCCAGCAAGTGACTCATCTGGCCTGCTGGCTGGGAGTTTTAGACATTCTACTCCCCCTCCCCACTGGAAAAATTATCTGATGCTAAGGAGGAAGAGAGGATCAATGGGGCCAGCCAGAGGGAGAGAAAGGGTTAAGATAGGAGAGGCCTCTATGGGGCAAGCCTGAGGGAGAGAAGTGGATAGGAGAGGATCAATGGGGCCAGCCTGAGGGAGAGAAGGGTAGAGGAGAGGCCAATAGTAACTGCTCATTTATTTTCAAGCTGTGTCAATTTATCAAGCCTGATCACATAGTTTCGTAGCAGAGAACAGGCATTCAGCTAGTATATATTTGAAATCAAGAATGATTTTTAAAAAATCCAAAACTCTCTAAAGTTGTTTGTATGTAGATGAAACTTCCTTCTGGATGTAGTCAACATTTCATTTCCAAAAGAAGTGCTGCTAGAATTAGAATTTTTAATCATGCTTTCCAATTATTATTTCTTGGAGTAGTCCTAGATTACAAAAACTATTTTAATTTGTAAACTGAATTTACAAGAATACTGGCTTGTCATTTTTAAATTATATCCAGATCTCTGATTCATCTATTTATTGTTGGGCTGATTAGCAATAGCAGATATAAATTACGTTTTTATTATTTTACCCTACCTTCTTTGTATGCAAAACGTATGCTACCAAGTGGGCTGTAGGCCAAAAAAAAAAAAATGTCATAATAAAAATTCCAGTCTTGGATTTTATTTTACATTTACTTTTGTTTGCTTTGCTATAGCAAATAAGCTTGGTTCCCTTTTTGTAAATAAAAATCAACTGAAAGAAAGCAGTTTTATGAAAAATATTACATCTTTTTGAAAATGCAATAATGTTAATCAGTCTAATTTAATTAGTTTAAACAAGTTAACATAAACATAGATGGGTTTGATCAATGGCAGGAGGATACTGGATTTTACCCACTAGAGAATCATAACCACTAGCTCCATTTTTCTCATGCCTAATTTCTGCCTAACCTGAGACTCCCTGCCCTTCCACGTGAAAGCATAAACAATGAATTAATTAAGGCATTCCCAGTCTCTCAATGTTTGGGGAATTATGGGATGGGTAGTCACAAAAACCTTGGGGCAGTGTTACACATGGTGCCAGGTTCAGCTTATGGCTTGTCACTCAGAGCCCTGGTCAACAATCACACTTTCAACCAAACACTGAGTCACAACCAGTTCTTTGGAATACACGGAGACCCAGTGAATTTAAAATAACGGCAAAACTTTACTGATTACTGTGTACACTTGCTCTTACACATACACACACACACACATCCAAGTGTGAAGTCCTGATGATCTATAGAATACCTCAAAACCAACATGGCCTGACCCCAAATAATCACCTACATTTCATTAGTAGATTTATTTTTTACCAAACCCACGTTTGTGTTTGATTCAACTACATCCCCACAAAAGCTTAGTAGAAACAATTTAATGCAGTGTAAATAGCACTTATTTGTTATCATTTACTTACTAGCAATTTTGCTGTGGTTGAGGATAAATGTGTGAATAGTTTTCAATTCAAATGAAGACACACAAAGAATTGATGGCTGTTATTAAAATAAACCAGCAAACATTAAAACCTAAAGGACTTAGAACGTCAATGTTAAGATACATAATTATTTGGAATGTACTTTTAACAGCTACTTCCATTAGCAATATTCTAGAAGTCCAATCTGGAAGGAATGGATTTAGAAAATGTGTCTGGTAATGCTGTTTCATTTAATGAACAAAATTGTTCAAGAAATGATATAATTCAACATCTGGAGGGAGGTTGTATTGTAGATTGGAGGGCTTGAGGGGGAAGGAACCCTTAAATCCCAGAAATCAAAAGAACATGAAAAATAAGGTACTACAGCTGCGCTACATAAAAATACTGACTATCAGATTAATCATTATGGTGGCTAAAACAGAAGTATTAGCCTGTATGGACTAAAACCTGTATCTGATGGGCCAATTCAATATTAAACTCTGTCTTAGATTTTGGGGGAATATAGCAAGATTGAGGGTTTTAAGTATATCCTCTGAACCAAGACATTTAATTTTGGTGATATAAAATCCAGGCAATCACAGCATAAAGTGATATAAAACTAGTACACAATTTTAGCATTAATTTGGGTAAACAGAAACATGTGATTTTAATATAAGCTGCATAATTCACTGTGGCAACCCAAAGTTAGTGGAACCAATCATTAAAAACTGACCACATTTTGGATGAATATAGTGACATTAATTTTTCAGATGTTTCTCCAAATTCCAATCTAGAATCAATTATCAAGTGTAAAATCCAGATTTGGGGAAAAGAAAATGATATAAAACTAATACATAAATTTTGAACTGAAACTGAATTTTAGGACTTATAATTACACAGCTCAAATCTAGGCTACTGTATACTGTCAACATAATTCATTTTTGTTGCATGAATTCAGAGGAACAATAACAATTACTAAGAGTGTATGAAAGATAAAATTCTCTCCCAAAGATAAAAAAAATCATAATCATATTTATAAATTATGGTATATTAATATATCAATAAAGCTATTTAATTTCTAAAATGATGCATATCATTTTAGTGATTCAAATCCATTGATAGAAACAAATTCACTGAAGTGATTGCAATATGCTGTTCATTTGGTTAAAACAATTTATACCAAAAAGATTGGGGGAAAACTCTTATAAAGTAATTGTGTACCACATTTCTCAACAACTGAAATGCTTTATTAAAATTATTTTAAATGCTTTGCAGTACATAATTATAAAAAATGCACATGAATAGTCAATGCAAATTGACTTTTTAGTCTTTTTTCCCCATAATGTCAACATTACTTTTGCTTTGCATATTTCTGGTATTTTCATCTTTGTCAGTGGAAGAAAGGTTTTCTACTGTGCGGGCTTCCAATAATATTTTTTCATGCTGTCCATTCAATTCGTCTTCTTTTATTGTCGGTAACTGATTGATGTTTTTGGTTTTACATTCAAGTTCCATTTCTTCTAGCACTTGCCCCGATGTATCTATAGATGCCGCTTCCACCTGACCTTCTAAATTTTCTTCTTTCCTTTTTGCTTTGAATACCTCAAGTCCCATCATTCTCAGGTAATGCAATCTCTCATTCTTGGGCACAAAGGCACGAAGGGATGTCTTGCCAAGCCAACCACACAGCAAAACAGAGCACTGATGGGAATCTTGTTTGCTACAAAGAGACAAATGCTTCAGTTTTATTTTCTTCAAAGGATTCATTAGTAATTTTAAACAATACTACTTTACAGTTCTTGAAAGCATTAAATTAAGGCTTTTTTATTTCTGTTCAGTTTCTATTCAAAAGAATCTGTACCAGAGGTGGGTTCCGGCTGGTACGGGCATACTGGGGCCAGAAATATGCTGTACTTTTGCGTACCTGTTCCATGGCGGCATGGCCACACCCCTGTACCAGTACGCTCCCCTGGCCTGCCCGATTTGCAAGGCGCTTCTCAAAGAGAAGGCAGCAAGGGTGGGGTTTCTTCAGAGGACCCGAGGCCAGAGTGGCATTGAAGCCCTCTCTGAAGCAGCTGGAAAAGGTACGTGGGTCGGGGGGGAGGAATTCAAACTTCACCCTCCTGGTGCGGGGCTTTGGACAAAGGCTGGGGGGAAGGGCTCTGGCTCGCTCAAACTCTCTCCCTCACTCTCTCCCTCCCTTGTGTAGTTTGATGCAGCCTGCAGTTAGTGAAGCTAGGCACTGGTGAGGGCTGGCTTTTTGCATAGCTTTATCCAGCTGTGGGGAGGGAGAAACAGATGGGGGCCTGGGAATAAAGTCATTTCCCACCCCCGACAGCTGGATAAAGCTATGCAAAAATCCAGCCCACCTTCACTGACTATAGGTTTGAAAAGGCAGCGTGGCTCTACCTGCAATTAAATCAGACTGGGGAGGGAGAGCATGAGTGAGTACTGAGGACCACAGGAAGAGGGAAGCCAGGCAAAGGAGCATGCTGTAGCACACACACTTTCCCCCAGCCCTGTTCTTTCAGAAGGCTCCGCTCGGCTCCCCTCGGCTTCTCTGCCTCTCCTCTCACCCCAGCCAGTCAGCAGGAGGTAAATGGGTGGGCTTTATTGCATTCCAGGCATTTCCCACCTGGACAGTATGCTGCATTTGCAATGGGGGAGGTGTTTGGGGAAGGCAGTGGGGGAATGGTGGGGGGGATGGCAGAGGAGCTGCTTTCAAGCCATTGGGAGATATATTCAATCCAAATTTTGTGTGTGCGCGCTGTGTTTGAGAGATAGTGAGAGAGGGAAGGGGGTAGGGGAGAGATACCCAATCCAACTTCTGTGTGCGTGTGTTTGAGAGAGTGAGAGGGGGGAGGGATGGAGGGAGAGAGAGAGGGAGGAAGGAAGGAAGGAAGGAAGGGAAGGGAGAAAGAAAGAGAAAAAAAAGAAAGATGGAAACTTCTTTCGCAAAGGAGAAAAACAAATGCTGTCGCTTTAAATCGGAACTGAGCATGCCTGGCTGTGGAATTCTGGAAGTTGAAGTCCACAAGTCTTAATGCTTATAACTTTAAATTGAAGCTTTAAATTGAAAAGGTGCAGGGAACAACAAATTGGTTATATGGTTATATGTTGTATGGTTTTATGTTTTTGAAGTTTTGGGATTTGTGCAATATGGGCTTTGTGTTTCCAAAAGGGTTTGGATGATTCTCTGCTTGTCAATGGAGCCAAACTTTCTCTGGGGTCATTATCTCATTATCTCTATCTGGCAGGAATGTGCAATGAGCCTCAGTCAGGTTTCTTTGTTAGCAGAAGGAAAGAAAAACAGTACAGCAATTTAGGGCTAGAAGGCTACTCGGAGGTCATCTAGTCCAACCCCCTGCTGCAGCAGGAAACCTTACTTTGTCTGGATTATTTTGGTGCCTCTAACTGAGAGGAAAATTGCCAGAAAGGAAAAGGAGTTTACTAGGACAAAACTGCCATGCAGAGGAACGCAGAGATGACTTCTGACTACAATTGAGCCCAAAATTTTGGTTGTTAAGCAAGAGCGTTGTTAAGTGAGCTTCACCACATTTTACCCAATCTATGACATCTCCTGGTGAGTGACATCAAGTTGGCCACTCCCACCCAGTCACATGATCGGCAAGACACTCTCATCCCGGTCACATGATCGCTGAGCCACTCCCACAAAACAGGCCACTCCTACAGAATAGGTTCTAAAAAAATTTGAAACCCAC